ATGTGTTCAGATTACTGGTTACTGTAGGTGGCGATAAAGGAAGGAGCCCGGAGAAGGAGTGGGCATTGTGACTTCCTCTCCCTTGTCTTTCCTCCCTCCTTCCTCTTCGTCTGTGTATGATTATCTCACCTCTCTATTTCTGGATACTGTTTGATTATTGGAACTATCAGTGGCTTGATAATCTGGACTTGCATTGTCAACCTTCGTATTCATGACTTAGGTCCACTGCAATTTGGTATCGAAGCTGTACTCCTGACTGTGACAACGACGACGACGATGTATGTGTGCAAGCGCCAGGTGGCGAAAGGTGAGTATGAGGGGGGTGCCCAATCGCGATTATAATCGCGCGGCACTCTAGACAGGGCACGCACCTCCATTGAAGACTGCACACATATCAAGATGATGATGACAAAGATCTGTTGTTGAGGAAGAAGACGAAGATTGGTGGCGAGAAGATTATTGCTGGCACAGATACCAATCCCAACGCACGTGTTGATGTGGCAATTGGGATACCAGCTTGTCTGCTGACGTGGCATGAGATGTGCCACGTCCCAGGATCTGATTGCTGACGTGGCAATCATTGTTGCGTTTGTCACTAACGAGCGACCAGATCCTGAGCAGAAGCTGACGTGGCACTTGGAAGAGTTATTGCTGACGTGGCAGGAGAGTATTGTCGCTCCTATCATCGATGTGGTGATAACCTGCTGATGTGGCATCCTTGTGCTGACGTGGCATTGTTCGATTGGCTGGTTTGATTACGATATCACAAGACACACGTGGGAAGGACAGGAAAACACATTGCTGACGTGGCATCCCAGCATCTATTGATTGGACACCGCTGACGTGGCAGTTTGCTATGTTGGTATGCTGGGAATGACACGTGGCAGGCAAGAAGCTGCCTGAGTGAGAGAATACATCCTGATGACAACGGCGGTACAGCTGATTGAATGGTGTTTAGAGAGTTGTAGTCCCAACTGTTGATTGGTGTGTTATAACGCATTGGCACAAGGATTGACGCAGGAAAGAGGAAGAATGCTAACACATTGTTGTTGATTGATGTTGGTATACTTACCTTGCGTTGCTTGTTATGGTGCTGTGCGTACTCACTTGTGTGTGTATCTGATCACACGGCCTGAAGTGGTACCTGTGGAAACCTGAATAGGACGTCATCACCCAGACTACGAACAGAACAGCATTAGCATTGAAATTGAATTTATTTTTCTCTTCTAGTTACAAATAAATCTTGCTGTTGTAGAATTGTGCGGCTGTGGAATTTAAAATGTCTCAATCTGAAAGCACTGCTCAGATTACCGAAGAATTGCCTGAGGCTCGAACCAGGCGACAAGTGGAAGAGCGGAAGAAAGTATTATCCGCCCGCTTGAATATACTGATCACTGAACTTCATGAGGCCGGTGCTGAGGCAGAAGCCCATGTCAAGGCATTGTACAACCTTGAGGCAGCACAGGCTGCCATCGAGGCAGCTGAGATTGGCACCGATGTCATGCAAGTTCAGGAAGTACTTATTAAGTGTCGTCAGGCACTTGATAAGTACATCATGGACAAGTTTACTGAGATTGCTAACGGCAGTGAAAAGAAAGAAGTGTCTGTGACTGAGGAAACCGTGGATGAGAATATCCGTCAGCTTGAGGAAGCACTTGAGAGAGAAAAGAACCGAAAAGAGGAACTCAGAAGAGAAAAAGAAAGAAATAGACAGCAAGAACAGAAAATAGACGAGATCAGACAGAATGTGGTGATAACTGAAGGGGAAGAACAGGCAGTTTCTTTGACCCAACTTGTAACCTATCTTGCTCACCTTGAAATGAAGATTGAACAGCAAGGTCTGCGAATTGATGAACTTACCGCAGACTTGCAAACTGTCACCAATCTGGTAAAAGGGAAAAACAAGGTGATTGAGACGAAGTCCGAAGAGAAGCCGAAGAAACTGATGGGAGATGCCATAGAACATCTTAGAGTGAAAACCGACGAAAAGAAATAACAGAAATCCGAAGAGAAGAAAGGAGAATCTTCGGATCCACTGAGTCCACCGCCAGGGCCCCCGAAAGGAAAGATAGAGGGCCCTGCGCAACCTGAGAAACCGAAAAAGAAAGATAAAGTCAAAATGAAATTGCCTTTTACATTCTGCAATAAAAAGGATGAAAATTTGTTATTGTGGATCGCTGAGATATAGACATATTGTGGCACGGCCCCTGTTGAGCCTGAGTCCCAGGTAGCCTTCTCTACTTCTTGTCTAGGGGGGGAGGCTAAGGAGTGGGTTTTGGCCGAAGCTAATGCAGCTGGGTTCGGTGATATTGGGGAATGGGCTGGGACACTGAATCTGAAATAGTTCCTAGGGAAGATCAAGGAACGTTTCCTTGACAAGACGACGGCTGACAAGGCCTTCGACCAGCTCACGACCATTGGACAAAAACATTGGACCTCGGTGGAAGCTTTGTCCAGGGAGGTTGACCGGTTGCTGCAAGTTCCAGGACTGAACTTGCAAGACAATCAGGTATTGTACATATATTCCCGAGCTCTGCCCGAGCCTGTGCGTAGTCAGCTTGTGGCGGAGTCAAAGTCAGGTAAGTATAACTATAGGCAATTTCGGGATTTGGCTCTCCAGAGAGAGCAAATGACTTCTCAGGTGAAGAACACCTATGCATCTGTTGTGAAATATGGTGGTGGTGCAGGTGGAGGAACAGGTAAGCGAGTACTCTGGCGCCAGAAGCGTCAGGACCACACCCTCATCGTCTTTGACGACGATACTATGGAGAAGTGGCCATTGGAGGCCGAGGGTGTGGCAAGGGGCAGTGAGTCCGGAAAGGGGGACGTCACTGCCGCCATGGTCAGAAAGGGAGGACCACGACCAGGAGGAAGGAGGAGACCGCGCTCGTTCCCGGAGCATCCCGGTATTACAGTCGGAAAGCCTTGGGAAAAGATGGATATGGACCAAAAGACTTGGCAAGACCGGATGGACAACGCGCAGTGCCTAAAATGCGGGACTGCGCGGCATGTGATTGCATGGTGCCCATTAATCCGGAACCCAAAAG